AGTAAAGAAGGGCCACCCTAGCACGCCTGTTCTTCTCAGTCTTCTCTGTGTTGCTCATCCTTGGAGATTCCTTCAGCTTGAAATTTTCAATATCCCAAGGTATCGTGCTTTGGGGTAGCGTGCCCTGAACCCCAACAGCTGCATACGAGATGCAGTCATCAGAAAGCATTAGCTTTCTCAATAGCAATGCTGAGAGCTTGAAGATGGTGGGGAAATGCCTTTAAAACTCCATGGGAAAATCATTATAATTGCATTCAGAAAAGCAAATAGAGACTCTCTAAAATGCATAAATTCATAAATAATCTACATAAGTATATTTTAGAAATACAGGGATATAAGCAAAAGTTAAAAGTGTAGAAGGAGTTGTCGCTAAGAAGTTGGGTTTTGCATGGGGAGGGGGAAGCAGGGAATTGCATCTTGCTGTATCCCTTCTAGCACCACTTGACTTTTAAAACTCTGTAGAATGTGTAATACTTTGTTAGAAACTAAAATTAGACTTAAAATTAATTACTTCCCATTAGAAAATATCCTTAGACATTTTGAAGTCAGAATCCCATACCAAATAATTGTTCACGAGATTAAAGTAAATGGCTGTTAAGGAATCTGGATGAGTATGTGATACTGCGTTTTCTGCTCCTGAATCACTGAGGTGTGAAGTGATGATGACTGTCAGCAAGGCCAGCTTTGCTGCCCCAGCCCTGCTCTCCTGCACTGGCTGGAGGTACCTCCCTGGTTCCTCTTGCAACCTAAGAAGAGCCCAGGCCTTGCCCAGAGAGTATTTAAAAAGCTTCCCACACGAACAACTCGTTTTCAACTTTGCAGTGCCTTCAACGTCACCCAGTTTGGCCTAGCCTTTGACTATGGCTGCCCTGGCCCTTGGCTGGCGCCCTGGCCCCTTTTCACCTGTCTCATTATTCTGTTACTGTTGAGTGGGCCCTCCAGTCTCAGATATTTATCTCTGTTCTGCTTCACACTTTCCTTCTCAGTTTCCAACCTTGCCCCCTTCTGCCTGGCCACACTGGCGGTCCCTGCCGCCTGCTGCAGCACCAGCGCTTGCCATTCAGTGAGTCTCTTATTTCCAACTTGGTATTCTCCTCCAATGTCACTTCACCCTCCATGGCACTGACCTTGATAGCAAATTGCAGCTATTTCAATAACCTTAAGGTTATGAGACCATCAGTCTTACATTTTTCAATGAGGTCTATAGGGAATAATAGAAATTAGGTCATGGATAAGGAAAATGGTGTGCTAGTGGAAGCAGCGTCCAGTTATCAGTAGGTACTAAAATAACATTAGCCTTTATTTATATTTATTTAGTATCTTCAATACCCCAGTTACTATAAAGTAGGTTTTGTCCCATGAGGACTTTGCATATGGAGTGGAATTGGGTACAACTGAGAGGGGCAGGCTATCACTTACCCAGTGACTTAATAATTATTTATTGAGTACTAACTATGCTCTGGGGCCAAAGGTTACAGAGATGAACTGGTTTTCTCCCAGCTTTCAAGGAGCTTCCGGTCAGTAGGGAGCAATGTAAACAAACAGTAATAATGCGCTACACTCCTTGCATCATGAAGCGCAATGAACACTGGGAAAAGCATTCATGTTATTTTGTTACAACCAAAATCCCAGAAATTGGGCAACAGACTCATCAGAACAGGCCTCATAGAAGTTCTTCACGGTCTGAAGCAGCAGCATCGAAACTTTCTTATTGTGTTCCCTGCTCATTGAAGCCTTTAGGCCCATAGCCCAAAAAGCATGTTTACCTCTAAATTCCATCCTTGTACGACTGTAGTCAGATATGATGTACATTATAAAGTATAACTAAAATAGACATTTTCAAGGATGACTTTTAAAAAATAATAGAAGCTCCTCTGTTGTGCCTCCATGGCTCTGCTTCAGCACCTCCTGAGTAGATACCTGGACTCTGACACCACCAGTCAGGTCCAGAGTAGAGTCCTCACTGTTGGGTCAAGAATCGGAACTTTGTCAATTCATCCAGAGATTTGGGGCAGCCCACAAGTGACAACTCCAAATATATCATGTGATAATCCAGCATTTCCAAGAGGATGCCTGCGCACCACCATTTGTACACGGCAAAATTTCCCCGTGAATATGTCCATTCAAGAGACCAAATTAGATTGAAGTTGCTTAGTGAGCATAGAATTAGAACAAATGGGATTGTGGTCTATTGGGAGATTTCATCAAACTAGAATAACTGATTGAACTGCCCTTCTCTTCTCTGGGGATATTTCTGTCTGAATAACCCATGCTAGACCTCAAAAAACACTGACATATTTTACTTGAGCTTTCTTTTTGCTAGAATCATTTAGACCACTGCCCTTCTGTTAACACATCACCACCTCAGAAAATCAGAATGCACTTGGTTGGATTGAAATTTCTAAATGTTAATTACTTTCGTGTCACGGGGATACAGCCTAAGGAGAAGGAATTGCTTTGCTTCAGGCTGAAGTTTGGCTGGGGACTTTAATCCTATTGTCTCCTAGGTTGTTACAGGGCTCTCACCCAGTTAGAAGGAGCTGAATCCTGCTGGCCCAGGGGACTGTCTTCATTCGCTCCTAGGACTCTGGTTGGCGAGAGTATCGCAACTTCTAGTTTGACTTAGGTTTTATCTCAAAACACATTCCTCTTCAGCCAGCTGGTGAAGGAGAGCCTGAAGTCTTCTCCTTATATGTGAAGGCAGATCTCGAGCCAGGAAGATACTCAGCCCTCAGATGATAGCATCTTAAACGATAGTTACAATTCTTTCTTATCAGGTATTATTCTAACCAATGTCATTTAATATTGTTCTTCCCAAGAGGAAACTAGTCTATTTTTCTCCTACTGAAAGCTATGATATTGCAATTTAAAAAAATAACTTAAAACTACACTAAGACTTTTGGAACACCTTAAACAGTAGATTCCACCACCACTGTTTTGACCTTAATGAAGAAATTCACAAACATATTTTACACTGACTTACTGGTTATATATGGCCATTCGCTCACCTAGATATCCCTATGTCCTAGATATCTCTAAGAACAAAAACAAATAGCGTTAATTTAAAAAAGGAGGTATTTCAATATCTCATAATACAGCAACATTATATATTTAATCTAGAATTATGGCTTAAGTATAGCAGTACCGACACAAAGTTAATTTTATTTAAGAATAGCAGTTGAACTTAATATTGCATATGTGTGTAATTTGCATAAAAGAAAGTGAAAAAACAGTATCCAGAAACTAATAGAGTGGATTTAGTTGATTCGTTGTGTTCTTCGAAAGAAAAACACAACAAAAATCAGTTTTTAAAAGAACAAATATTTTAGGTGTTAAAAGAAAATTTTCCACATACAATTTACTGACCTAGTAGGCTTTTTTTGGGGCTATTCATGCCTTGGGCAGCATCCAGTCTAGCAGGTAGAAAGCAGCTCCAAAGAGCTGTACAAGCTGCAAGATTTTTATAGGCCCAAGTGAGCAGGAAGAAGGAAGTTATTGGGCATTTGCTGATTGGTTAGAGAGGGTTACTTCCCTCATATGGAGCAAAGGGAGGCTTTGGAGCTGGTCAGGAAACTTGTGCTGAGCAGGCCAGTGCCGATTGGTTGAGCTAGGTCTTCCTTCTGGGAGAGTCAAGCATAGAAACTTTCAGTTTTGGCTTGCTGGCCTGGCTTAGCATGAGAGACTCCATCTTGGGTCTAATCTGGTTACTTTAACATAGGTTTAGTATTAAAGATAAAGGCTTTAGTAACCGTTTTAAAGCACGCCCATGTATTTTAGTCCTTAGCTGTGACAGTAAATGTACTCAGAAATGTGAACATTAAAAAGGAATTTCTCAGACCAGCCGGTGGTGTCGTGGTTAAGTTTGCATGCACTGCTTTGGTGGCCCAAGGTTCACAGGTTCGGATCCCAGGCATGGACCTGCACACTGCTCATCAAGCCGTGCTGTGGTGGCATCCCACATACAAAATAGAGGAAGATTGGCACAGATGTTAGCTCAGGGACAATGTTCCTCACCAAAGACAAAAACGGAATTTCTCCCCTGGAGGTGAAGTTGAGAGTCAGCTCTTGGTCTCATGATAAATTCTTGGTCCATCTGTTCCAATGATATGTGAGTCATCCAGTTTGGTGTTTCTATTTTGTCCTGTGAACTGTTTTTCTCCTGGGGACACTGGCTACTATCAGGCAATGGGGAGTGGGGGTGAGTGAGGGCCGGAACAACCACGTCTTCTCCATGAGCTCAGGGTGGAGGCTGATTGAGAGCCCTTAGCGGGGCTCAGCTCAGCACTCCCCATCCTCTGAAACACCCCACAGGTCAGAGCGTCACCTGGAGGCCCAGAGAGGAAGAAGTTGAGGAGGAGAGCCCTGTTCTACAGCAACTCACCTCTGGGGGTTTGAGCAGGAGGGATGGGGAAATGACGAGCCTGGCCCGGTCATCCCTCCTTTTTCTCAGCTCCTCACTTGCACAGGGTTTCTGCATCCCCAAGTTGTATTGCTGCAGCACCGCACCCAGAGTCTGGGTGGCTGCTGACTGGAAGCAGGCACTGCTTATTCCAAGGCAAAGGTAGACGAGAAGCGAAAGCAGAATACCAAGGACCCCATTGCTATCCATCCCTCTAGGTCTAGACCAGGTGCTTTCTGCAGCAAACCAAAGCTGCCAGTACATTTGCACAAGTTCAAGATAGCCACCCACCACCCGCCAAAGACAGTGACCCCAGAGGCTTCTCTCCATTTTCTCCTCTATTGGCATTTACTCCCTAGCTTCTATCCAGGACTGCTCTTGGTAGGAACCCCAACTATCAATCTTTAATAAAATATTTTATATGTATACACACACATGTAACTGTTGGAAAGTCTAAGATACGTTTGTAAGGGTTTGGTGCAATGTGGTTCAGCAGGATGAAAGTAAACAAGGGCTATTGCTAATGGAAATTAATTAAAACTCAAGAAATGGATATCTACCATGATCAGTTACCGTGGTTTTTTTTTTTTTATTTCCACAGGGAATTATTGGAATGCTGCCTCTTTCCCAAACCCATCATCCTACCTGCACTTCTCTACTTTCCAAGGGGAAACCAGTGCTGATATTTCCTTCTACTTCAAAACATTAATCCCTCGGGGAGTGTTCCTGGAAAATCTGGGAAACACAGATTTCATCAAACTCGAGCTGAAATGTGAGTATAAGCTCTTTGTCAACTCACGAATAGTCACTTCTTTGTCACTTCAACCTGGACTTAGCCATGATTATGAAATTTCATTTGATTCGAACATCAGTGGTTTCATTTGTTTCAAGAATGGTGCTAGAAGGCAAATATACAAACTTGAGAGAGACCTGGGTCCCTGTCCTCAGAGTGCTCACAAGGAAGCAGGCTCATACAGATTCCCAAGCAATGCTATCCCAGGAAGATGAGAGAGAATATATCGCCCTACTAATATGGGAGTAGAACATATATTTAAAGTTTTTGTGTGTGTGTGTGTGTCTCCTTTTTCCCAGGAGACAGGGTTAAGAGTAGACAGAGCATTGTGGAAAGTGATCAGGAATAGAGAATAAGAGAGTAGGGTAAATAACACAAAGGCAAATAGGGATAATGAAAATAAACATCTGTAGGAGTTAGTGAAGCAGCATAGACAACAGTGTTGGTGTCATTCAACGAAACTTCAAGTCTGCAGCTCTCCAGAAGAGGCTCCCCCATCCACATACCCTCTAAAGGTCTAAGTTCTGGTTTTACTTAGCCAAGGATATGGAAACTAACAGAACCAGAGCAAGAGCAGATGCCGCCTAGCTCAGCTCAGCTTACCTTGGATCCCAAAGACCCTTCTGAGGTCATGGGGTTTGGGGGATGCCATCTGTGGAAGATAGGGGTTCGCTGGATCTGAGAAGTGCAGTTTTCATCCTACCAGGGCCAGTTTGTGCCCGGGGCATAAGTTCGGCTTTAGGAATTTACAATCCACAGACTTCCAGGTTTGCTGAATATTTGCAAACACCAGGCTCTCCTGGCTATTCAGAAGAAGACAGAATCAGCAAGACGACAGAAGCGACCAGGAAGGAAAACCAATCAGTGTCCCCACGTCCCTCCACAATATCTTGGTTCCTGCTCCCGACATCAGAAGTCTTCCTCCTAGACTGTGCCCTTTATCTCAGTGTTTATGTTACTGGGTGTGATCTGAGAATGGTCCCAAACCCATTTCCCAAAAATATATGATGGAGTACTTTTCTCCCTTTGTAGTTATAATTATGCAATGTGTTCTTTTAAAAGGGGGATCTCAGGTAACTGTCTTTCTGTTGAAATCCTTCGGGATTCTTTTTGTAAAATGGTAGACAGTGGTAGAGTAAAAAGTGCACAGACTTTGAAATTCACATTCTCAGGTTGAAATCCAAGTCATTGAGTAAATTGCTTAATCTCTGACTCTCAATTTCTTAATCTGTAAAATGAGGATGCTAATTTGTGGCAATTGCTGTGATAGTAGAATAAGGATATTCATAAAGCACTTATTTCAGTGTCTAGCAGTTACTGTTATTATCATCTTCCCGAGGATACTCATTGTAGATCAGACTGAGCCAGATCTGATTGAAAGAGAGACTGAGGACATTCTAGCCTCGAATTAAAAAATAAATAAATAGAAATCTTCGCTTTACTGAATTATGAGTTGGAATTATTTAAAAGGGATTTTCACTTTTCACAGTTAAATTAATTGAATCAAACTATTTTCTGACTTCCATGTTAGTTGGATTATATTTTAGAAATATGGCAAAAAAAAAAATTTTGACAATTCTATATTTGAGTACTTCTATAGGTGTCTATAAAATTGCTTGGATTTGCCCTGTCCTTGTTTGTAAACCCACGCCTGGGTTGGAAAGAAGCTGAACCAGATATAGGAGGAACAGGTGTTTCTCCTCAGCACTTGTGTAGTAGAATTTCCCTTATTTCTGATTATGAAGAGTCTTCTGAGAAGTTTTCAAAGTTTTCCCAGTCTTTTCACAGTATGAAAACTCTGTGGCAGAGAGTGAATTATAGCCCTGTTTTGTGACATAGCTTGCTTTTGGTAAAGAAATGTGGGACATTCAAGGCACAGGTGAGAATCTAGGGCTCCCCCCCCCCCCCCCACTCCCCACCCAGCCTCCGCCAGGAGTCCTCTGGAGCTTCTAGTAACTACTAACCAGGAAATAACCTTTTTAAGATCCCCCAAATGGCAGAAATATCAAATGCTTGTCATTATGTAACATCTCCATGGGGGTTCAATGGAGCTTTATGGGGGGAAAAAGGCAGATTTCTGTATTTCAAAAAAAACTTCTTCAAAATAAACAAGAAGTGATGCTTTCATGAAGAAGGTGGAGAAAAAATGGCCATGACTGAGGCTTGCTGCTGCCCCACTTGTCACATTTTTCTAGTGAGACTCTTCTCTGTGGGATTCATGGGGAACTGGGTAGAGATGGAGAATTCTCTCAGGCTCATTTCTTCCTTAGGCTGATTAGTCACTCTGCAAACTTAAAGGTTTTCACAGCCATGGCTGGCTACCAGAGGAGGCTCAGGAAAGACAGTTCCTGAAGGCAAACTTTTTAAAACCGTCTCTACCTTTTTCCTCTTTAACATGTTAGGCCTTCTGATCTCTTTCTGATAGGAATTCCAATTTTGTTTCTCTGTGTGTATCTCAAGGAATTTTGTCACAGTTCACACCTACGTGGTGATGTCCAGAATAACATTTCTGTTAATTAACCACATTGTGCCCTTCTGTCAGAAGTGGAAGATTCTTGACCCTAAGAACAGAAAGTCAGTTACACTTAGTCAATGAGAAATCATCAACATCTTAATGTGCAAATAAAAAAGCATATGTGACAAAATTAGAGTGATCTTCCTCATTAGCACACTTTAAAGGTAAAAGTTTAAGGCTATATTTCACTTATTTGTTACCTGTATGTATTCATTCATTCAATGAGTATTTACTGAGTACTTGTTATGTCCCAGAAGTTGTGCTATGTGCTGAGGGAACACACTCAAATCAAGCATGGTTTCTTTCCCTCAAAGATCTGTTTGTTTTGGAAAGCAGACAGTAAATCAGTAGTTATGAGAATAATTAAAATATCTCAGCTTTATTCAAACTCACTATGTCTCAGACCCCGTTGTAGGGACTTTACATAAATCATCTCACTTATTGTCCTAACCAGTCTTTGAAGTGGGCACCACCATTAACAGCTCTATTTTACAAAGGAGGAAACTGAGGCACAGGGTGAGTAAGTTGCCTGGCCGAGGTCACACAGCTAGGAAGTGGCAGAGCTGGTGTTTGACCCCAAACACTTGTTATTTGTCCCAGAGTCATTGCTGTTAACACTATACCACACTGCCTCCCAGTGACATCGAGAGAGAGGGCTGAGAGCACCAAGTAGGAATAGTTAAAACTGACTGGAGTGACAAGGAGTGCTTCCTGGGGAATGCAACGCTTTAATTAAATCTTGACGGACGAGCAGGAGTCAATGGGGTGAAGAAGGTGGGGGAAGAATAGGGATCAGGATGGGAAGACGTTACGGGATGAGAACACCAGTGAGTGAAGGTGTTGGGCACTGAAGCTAGGACTCAAGAGGGAACAGATACAGCCAGGAACCCGGTGCACTTGGGAGCGGACAGCTAGGGCTAGAAGGGTAGGCAGGGGGCAGGGCATCAATGTGCTCTGTGCTGGGGGTGGAGTTGACTTGACTTGACCCTGAAAGTCACAGTGAGAAGGGGGCATGTCACAATCAGGTTTGCACTCACCAGAGAAAAGGTGCAAAGCCAGAAAAGCAGCAATGGGGCCTGTGCTAAGATAGCAGCAGAGTGAATGGAAAGAGAGCAAGACAGCCATGAAGGGGTGTAGATGTGAGAGATATTTAAGAGGTAGAGTCCGCAGATTCTAACAAGACGTTATGTGAGAGTAAAGTGGAAGAGTGGCTTCAAGAATGAAGCCAATGTTTCCGGTTTTGATGATTCTGTAGGTGGAGCACATTTTACTAAGGAGAATGGCGTTTGAGGGCAAAATGCAATCTACATTTTGAGCTTGAGCATCTGCAGGTTATAGGAGCATCTATCTGAGTGGACGCATCTAGAGGATACTATGTATACAACTCTGGAGCCCAACAGAGAGGTCTGAGTTAGAAATACAGTTTGGGAGTCACCATCACTTAAAGAATCATCAGGAAATAAATATTTGGTGCCTTTGGCATGGATGAGATTGCCCAGAACAAATGTGTAGAGAGAGGAAAGAAGATGTCCAAGAATGGAAACCACATTACTGGAGAGAAGGAGGAAAGCTAGCTCGTAGAAGACTGGCAGGGAAGTAGGAAGACAGCGGTATCCCAGGGACGAAATGAAGAAAGAACTTCAAGAACCAAAAAGGACTGTTCAACACTGTTGAGAGGTCACTAAAATAAGGACATAATGTGCCTATCAGGTTTAATATGTAGACGTCATTGTCAAAAAGGAACACAGTGCCTGGGGTGAGTGGACAGGGATATGGAGATCAAGGGATGATGGTTTTGTTCATCGTTCTTGTTGTTGTTGTAAATGGTAGGAACTTGGCATGCATATATAATAAAGAGAAAAATACGCTAAAGAAGGTGAGACTGGAGATATGTGAGAGAAAGGGACTGGCTGAAGGAGTGAGGTCCCCAGGAGGTGGGAAGAGTGAGACCCAGGATCAGAAGATCTGAAGGGACTGAGGGGAACAGGTCACAGTAAAGACGAGAGCATAAGCCATGGACTAGTATAGTAGATCCCTTTCCAAATCAGAAGTGATTTTTTGGTTTTTTTGTTTTTGTTTTCTTATTGTTTTGTCAGTATTTTTGAGATGACAGAGGAATATTATTTTAAAAAATTAACTAACCATGGAAATATCCATTTATTTTTTAAGAGTTACCCCTAACTAGACCTCTTTAGATCCCTTTCCTGACCAAAATGGTGATGATGACCTGGTCCCATCATCAGGCCACCACTTAACTGGACACCTGCTGTGTCAGAGGCAATGGGGTAGATCCTGGAGATTCTAAGGTGAAGACAAAAGAACCCAACGCTCTCCCCTAGGGCGGGAGACAAACACTTCAGTAACAGTATGGATACGTATCTTCTATTGAAAGTTTCCTATGGCCAGGCACTGTTCTAAAGCTTTTACAGGTGTTAACATTTTCAGGTTTCACAACAACAAGTTT